CTGGAATTACTGTCCTACTTGGACAGAACTATTTAACTATTTTTGAGCAGCACTGTTATTGAAATACTTTTAGGGATTACTTGTTTAGATCCTTACTTACATTTGTATTTCAATGGGTTGATTACCTAAATGTCTGTTAAACTGTGCTACGTAAAGCTGTGTCAGAGAAATGATGGATGACAGCTCCATTCAGTGCCATCCACACCCTTGACACCTGGAGCACCCAACAGTTTCGATATACAGCAGGAAGAAAGCAAATAATAAAAAGCAAGCATCTCTCTCAGCAAAGAACAAAGGCAACATAATATAAAACCGTATATCTCCTACCTCTGCTCGACCTTCATAGTATGTTAACATTGACTTTGTAAGCACAAAAAGCCTCTCTTTGTAATTTAAGGGAGAAGTCCTTTTCTTCTGTTGCGACCTTTTAATCAACATTTCCTCTAAGATAGTGTTCATATTCATTTCAGCCACTTGATATCACTGTTTCTAGCCATTGAATATCAAATCCTGTAAAGAGCAAAAAAGAAAGAGGGGAGTGACAAAGATTGTTGCAGATTAACACAGACTGCTGCTACGAATTATAAAAGAAACAGATGGCACTTGCATGTGAAGCAACTTGACAGCTTAAGAAACAATAACCCATACCAAGCATCGTGGAAATAAAAAGTTAATTATTAGCCAAAAATGTTCAAATTTTGTTCAACTGAGGGCTACCCTACCACATTTTATACTGACCAGGGACAACCCTCATGTTATAGGCAATGAAGGGCACTGCAGTCAACTTCATGCCAAGTATAAATGCCTCATAGATGGAGTAGGAGGACATGTTTAGGTTTACACATCTCCATGAACCACAGATGCATTCACCATGAACATCAGCACAAGGTTTACTGCAAAACCTTTTGACTCGCACACAAAAGCAGTGTATAATAGTGTTTTTGTTTATATTGGTTACCTACAAAATATTCACCCTAAACCCTGCAGGTAAATAGCTGTACAAACAAGTGTTGCACAACAGGCAGTCTAATATGAGCAAGAGTTACTTCACTACTTTAACGCTGGTCATAACATAGTTTCAGCGGTTACAAAACAAAGTTTAATTGGTCTGCATTTTTTTTGCATGACTCTTATGGCTCAGTAAACTTAGAACTTACATTAAAAAGTTAATAGTAAACTACTGCACGAAGTAAGTGAAGTCAGGAATTCAAGATAAACCATGCAATCATACAACCACGAAAAGAATCATACAATCAGTATCAATGTGTGTTGACTTTAATTACAGTTATTTGAGGTCACATCAGCAAAGCAATCACAACTCAAACACTTGCACACGTTATTTTGTGCATGTGAACTGCATATGCAAATGTTCACATGAACAAACAGCAATATGCAAAATTGAAATACAAATCAAGAGAAGCCAATATCTTGAAAGTTCATCTCAGAAATTATTTTGACCAAAATTATCAAAACCACTAAATGATTTGGTATCAAACTTAAAAAAAACCACAAAGAGGCACAGTTTTTCAGAAAGTGGCAATCATTTGCACTATGCTCTAAAATGACTTTGACTGTACACAAATATTGGTGCACTGAATCTCTAGTCACATCTGAAAATTTTAGTGAGCTCAGATGGTGTTGATATGAGAAAAACTAAAACATCTAAAAATGAGTAGGCTTGTTTGAAACTAAGTGAAAAATGTCTTTTGTACATCTTGAAAATGAGCTCTCAGGATCCTCGATTATTGGTAAAGGCACTATCTAGCACCTATTTATAAAGGAAAATGGAGGACCCGGGGAATAACTTTGATAGCTACACAGCTACTGGAATATATAAATCAACTTCTAAGCACCTAAAGGATAACAAGGAAGTAAGTAAACAACCAACATGAATTTCTCAAAAGCAGACCATGCTTAACCAATTTCATTTCCTTCTCAGAAGCTGAAAGTTTTTATGAATGGCTGGGGGTGGGGAGAATACGGGATGCAATAAGACTCAGTATTTTTATACCCTCTCCCATGACATTTTCATAAATTAAGCAAATAAAATCTAGATCTGGGCTGTCCAACTGGCAGCCTGTGGGTGGTTAACAGGTGGCCACTCTGACTGACACATGGTAGGGCCACCATGCACAGCTGACTCAGCCCACACTGCCTGCACAGCGATCCTGGAGGGGCTGCCCTACAGCAAGTGGTCTCTATGGTGTGCGGCCCCAGGGACTACATGCCACTGCTGGATGCACCCCTGGCTGCAGGGAAGTTTAACCACATTAGTATAGATGAAATTCCTGTAAAATAGGTGCAGAACTGGTTGAATAATCATGCTTAAAAAATAAGTGATGAAGAACTTAATATCAAACTGTAAGGAGGGACCAAGTGGAGTTCCCTAGGTGTCTGTTCTAGTTCTTCCACTATTTAGTATTTTCATTGAACTGCGTAACATCTTGAGATCCCTTCCAAGTCTATATTTACCATGAGGCACTAGCTACTGAAAACGTCAATTAAAGTTTAGAAAAAGTCCTAGGTAAATACAGTAGTTCCCTAAATCAGCAATGTTTCCCCCCTATCAATAACAGGTGTTTACTAAGGGTGTGTAAAATGGACCCTATTAGATTCAGATTCAGCCCGAATCAGGGACAACGATTCGATTAGTTGATTCAGATCACTGTCCCTGATTCAATTTGGCTGAATCCAAATCTGAAGATTTGATGCCAATTCAGCGGCTCAGTGATTCGGGCACAGACACAGCTTTAAATGTTTTTTCTACATACCTCGAGGTACCAGGCATGGAACGTGAACACTGCTGTGCTGGGGTGGATGGAGCATCCCACACGAGCGCAGGGGAGTCCCCTGCATGCTTGGTGGTGAACCTGGAAGATGACCAGAAGTACTTCCGGTCCACTTCTGGGTCTGCTGGGAAGCGTGTGGGCCCCCCCTCCCCGCGCCTGCTCGGCTCAGCAATCAGCCGCAGGGGAATCCCAGGTACCCGCCCCAGACCCAGGAAGCACCAGTCGCTAAGCTGGGAGGGCGCAGGGGGGGGGCCCCCCAGTGTGCTCTCTGGTGGACCTAGAAGTGGACTGGAAGCGCTTCTGGGTCTGCTGCCGAGTGCGCTGGGGAGCCCCCCACGCTCCTGTGGGTAACTCCATGAAGCCCAGCATCACAGCATTCATGAGACGCCTATATACCTCTAGATACCAGAAAAAACATTTAAAACTGTGTCTGTCTGAATTGTCAAATCTTTTCGAATCAATTCGGCCACCAAATCGGGCTGAATCTCTGCCAAATCAAATCAGGGACTGAAGCTCCACATATAGCCTTAGTGTTTACAACCATCTAAAATTTCCAATATATGCTCCAATTTATCATGTGGAATATATAAAAAATAATCCACAGAGTACATGTATATTTTTCCTGGTAACTTCTTGAGGAGGACATGATTATGATTTAGCATGCATAAAGTGACAAATTTTAAAATCTTGTGCTAAAAATACTCAAAATATTAGGCCTTCTAGGTATATCTGTCTTAGTGCCTCTCTTTCTCCTTTATTTTGTTTTAAAAATTAAAGTTGTATGTAAAATTAATTTTCTGGTGACAACACGTAAGGCTCCACCCTTCTCATACTAATCACTACTCCCTCACACACCCATTTCCCTACCAACTCACATGCAAATACATTCCTATTCATGGGGAGATCTAGAATTTTGAAAAAGGTGTGCACATGGAGAGGTTCATCATCACACATAAAACAAGACATGCTTTTTTGGGGTTAAAAATAAGCTATAAACTTTACTGATAGGTTAAAGGGTGTGAAATAGGAGCTTCATTACCAGCAACAACTAACAGACAGCAAAATTGCAGACCAAAGGATAGCTTGATTGGTGGAACAACCAAGACCATTAAAAAGAAGAAAGGATCATTAATACCTGTAGAAGGAGGATCTTATAAGGCAAAAAGTAGATTACAATAAACCATGAAGTCAAGTGACACCCTCCCTGCTGCCTGACTAGAAATGCTGCTGCCACTGGATTTTAAATTTTGGGTGGACCAAGAATCAAAGTGGGGTATGACTGCACCAGCGCCACCCCCTTCCACATCTGCCTGTTCCCATCTTTCCCTCCCCAATTCCAGTCTCTCTCTCACATTTGCCCTAAGCTTTCTTTAACTGCACTCATACTCTTTCTATGTGAGCCTGACAAGAATCACTGTTTGCCTCAAAGGCTATAATCCCAGAATTTTTGTCTGTGTTATTAGCACTTGAAACACAGAGGAGTAAAATAAGCAAACCAGGCAACACAATTAACTGGCATTTCAGCACCCAGGTATTCTAAAACGTTACATCTCTGTGTCAAGAAAACTCAGTCTTAAACCACAAATATTTTTGACAAATCCGATAAAGTGACTCATCACTTATTTTTTAAAACAGTCACTATCAAAATCTACTTGCCATAGGCAATTATTTACACTGAACTGTCCAAATTAAATGCAGCCATCTGCAGTTAGGAACTGACTCCCCTGTTCACAAAATGTGACATGTAATCTGTATTTTAGTCACCACTTCCACTCACATAAAGGGAGTCAGTACAGTTAAAACCCTCATGATACTGTTCTGAAACTTTCTTATTGCATTTCTAAAAATTTCCTAGAGAAGAATCCAACTTACCTATTAGGAATGAAAATACAAATATATGGACTTCCTACTGGTTTAAAGTGCCTCCTTCTCCAACTTCCTCCAAGCACTCTGCTAAACCATTCTTTACAAACTGAAACTATTCTTCACGGGCACGTCACTCGGCGCTGTTCCAAGAAGCTGAAGGAGTTTCAGGGTGCCACCCTTTCCAAGCTCTCTCAATACCAGCTGTCAAGGATCTGCCCCAGTTCTAGCTGGTCTAGCTTTCCTAGTAGCTATTATGATCTGATCTGCAGAGATGTTGAGCCTCCACAATTTAAGAGAGAGTAGATGTTCAGTACTTCCAGCAGGGGAAGGGAGAGATCAAGCATTTGTGACTCTTCTCTTTAAACTGTCAGAAGTTAATGCCAATACATATTGATGCAAGTTTCTCACATACACATTCAAATCTATTGCCATAGTATCACAAACATGTCCATTGTGTTCCTCATCAACAATTTAAATAGGTGGGAACTTTATCCCTCAGTAGAGATGTACACAACACTTAATATGTGTATACTAGTTTTCCTCTATAGAGCTCAAACCTCTTTAAAAAGGTGCATACTAAATTTCCCTTTTTCCCAAATGTGGAAACTGAGGTATAGAGCGCTTGGGTGACCAGTTTCATGTAACAGGAAGTGTCAGTTCTGGAACCCTCATCTCCATTGTATTCATTCACTGACGGTTATAATATTCACAATAAGCTGATTGATGGATGCTCATAAAGGTTCTTCTAGCAGTAGAGTTTCACAGTAGATGTTCCACTAAATAGCAAGGAGATAAAGAATCCAGTCTGATCAACTTCTTTCTTCATCTGGTAGATTGAATAAAGTCTCATTTTAACAAGCAACTATCACTTTATCTAGCATAAAGCTCCACATAGTTCACCAGGTAATTTCAAAGTGATTTAGAAAAGCCAAAACAAAACATCTTTCTCCCACCATAACAGAACAAGCAGCAACAGAAAACTGTTTATCTCGAGAGTCATTGTTTCATCCCTCAGAAGAGAGAAACTAAAACCAAGCTCGGAACTCTACGTTCTGTCTCCTCCTTAATTGAATTATCTAGTGATTCAGGTTCTGTGATGCAAAGCCTCCAAGCTAAATTGATGGGCTTCTATCCAAAACTATTCATCAGGCACAGCCAGAAAATGCTTGCATTTAATTTTTTTGACAGCTTCTTCTTCTCTCCTGCACAAGCACTCTTTTTTGTTTTGCTAATTAGACCTATCAAGCTGAATAACAATGCTGTTACATTAATATAAAAATATCTAGCCTATTACACAGCTTAAATTAAAACAACAAAATTTCACTTTTTCAATAAAAGGAATTATTTTTGAAGTACCATTTGTTGATTACAGTTTTATAACACATACAGACATTATATTTTCAGGCCAAATCTGTAACCCGTACTCATAGTGAGTAGCATTTATTCACGTAAGTAAACACTAGTATGGGCTTATTCAGATGAGAAACTACTCCTCAATATAAACCAGCACTGAAGAATCCACTTTTGTGTTCTTTAAGAGATGAAAAGGAATCTCTCTTCTAGCATAGAAGGAGTATAGAGATAGAAGTTGTATCTGACAATTGTTAAAAATATACATATTGTTAAAGAGAAGTTTCATGGAAATAAATATAGCAAAGAGACTCTAACCAAAGTCTGTCATATGATTTCAGAAGTGGAAACTGGAAAAAATGCTGCAAATAAGATTTCAAATGTATTCTAGTAGCAAAAAGGAGAACCAAAATTTTTTGCTTTACTTCACATGACAGCAGACTCAAAAACAGCCCCACCTTTTCTGACATACCTTATACTTTATTTTAAACAGAAAGAAATGTGATAAACATTTTCAAACAACATTCAAAACTGCGCTCAAGAGATTTGCAAAACCTTGATCTCTGTGCAAAAGTGGGCCCTTGCATAAGGAAACTGGATCATTAAATGCACAAACCATCCACTGTGCAAATAAAATGGATTATCTGCTTCAGTAAATACTACCCAAGTGAAAACCCTTGACCTACAGCATATTCTCCAAGCCAGACAGAATTTAGAGATGAAAGGTCCATTTTGTTCTCCATAGGGGCAACTGATATACACGAGTAGTAGCATTCCAAGGAAGATCTGTTACAAATATTGGACACTGAGGGCAACAATTTTATTTACTCTAGTATAAATCAGGAGTAAGTCTAATCAGCACAAGCACCAAGGAAGAAAACTACTGGGCTAGAGACAGAAATTACACACAAACAGGTTTAAGTGATCAGAAACAGGTTTCAACCTGTAACAGAACAGAAGCCTAGTATACTTAAACCACTTACAAAATGGCTGAAACTAGCTGAAGATAACCTTGGTTAGATGCAGTATCAGACCTAACTGATTTTGGCCAAACCAGTTTATGCAACTTCCATACCAGACCCCTTCCCGGTTCAAATTAAATCAGTCCCCCAGCATCCCAGGATGCTTTGCAGCCCCAGGCTGTGCTGTCTGCTCCAGAAAAACAGGGTTGGCACCACCCCTCTTTTCCCTACCCAGAGTACTATAACTGCTGCAGCTGGGTGGGGGAGGGAGGTGGCCACCTGGCTGTAAACTGCAGATGGGGTCAGCCTGGCAGGGGCAGAGCAGCCCCTCAGTCTGTCTTTAATTACAATTTGTCATAAATGTATTCAGGCCCTTTATGAATCAAAATATACCTCCTGACTATGACTTTTTCCAATAGCACATTCAGTCTGACTGACTATAAGTTCCTCTTGAATTCTTAGTGGGTTTTCTTCATTTTGCCTTATAGGCAGTGAATTCTTTGGGCCAGCAACTGACTCAGGATTGCTAACTATCCATTTACAAAGACAGCTGGGGGAGGGGAAGAGAGTGGGGGAAGTCAGGCTAAAAATAGCTGTTTGTAAAATACATTAAAAAAATTAAGCTGTTTGTAAAAACACTAAGCAACTAGAGCTTGACTGAAACTCTGTGGTCAGAAAGAATCCGGAGGCAAACTGATGGACAGAGAGAGCATAACAGCATAACCTGATGACTGAGCAGGAGCGTTGCACCCTGCAGCAGCCTTCTCTCCGGGGTTTGTACACCTAGACCCCTACCCCCATAGTCATTGTTATTGCTGCTGTCTGTAATACTGCTGGGTCACTTATAGCCTTCTTTTGGGGTCCATGCTTTGGTCCATGGCAGCACAGTGCAAACACATTGCTGCAGTCAATGATTTTTTGCTGCAAACTTTATTGATAATTTTTTTTTACAATTTTTGGTGTTGAACACCTACATTTAAATGCAGCCCTTCTAGCTGGAGCCTGGCAGCATAGCAGAACAGACTACATTTATATTATGTAAAATACGTATCAGTAAAAACAGCTCTCAGTAAAGAGTTTGGTGGTCATATCAATAAAAAAACTTCTTGGATTGGCAACCCTGAATTGACCCTGGGTCTCTGATGCCATATAAAGCACAAAAAACTTCCATACTAGAAAATAAACAAACAATAATGCACTTCTAGTTTTCTACTAAAGAAGCCTTCAGTTTCATAGTTGTTAGGGGCTGGAAGGGACCTTGCAGATCATCAGGTCCAGCCCCCCTGTACTTGGGCAGGAAAGACTGCTGGGGTCAGATGACCCCAGCAAGATGAGCATCAAGACACTTTTGAAGATCACCAGAGTGGATGACTGTACCACCTCTGGGGGGAGCCTGTTCCAAACCCTCAGTACTCAACTTGTAAAGTTTTTCCTCATGTCTAGCCTGAAGCAATCTTCAATCAGTTTGTGCCCATTATTTCTAGTCCTCCCCAAGGGGACCTTGGTGAACAGTTTCTCCCTCAGGCCCTGAAGTACTCCCCCAATCAGAATTTACTGTGAAGCTCGCACTAATTTTGCTTTCAATTGTTGTACCCAAATTAAAACCCCATCTGTGTCTGTTTTTGCTTAACTGATAAGTTAAAAATCCAAATATTGTAGTCTGATGCATAGAAAAATAGGAACATGAAAAATGTTTTTAGAAAGAGAAATTAAAGAAATCTAGACATCTCTCTCACCATGGTGATCCTTATGCTTTCTTGGCAATCCTCTAACTTAGTGTTTCTCAATCAGTGGGCTGTGACCCAAAAGTGGGCTGCAAAAATATTTGAAAGGGTCATGAGCAAGTCCCAGGAAAAGGTGAGAGAGAATGAGTTTCTCCTTGCAGGCTGGCAGCCTTCTAGCCTGCAAGGGACTGCTTGGGGCAGTTGGTGGCAGCAGGTTCACACGTGGTTGGCATGCAGCCAAGCAGGGTTGTGGGAGCAGCCCCAGCAGCTGGATACAGGTAAGTGTATGAGGAGTGGGTGTTGGAGAGCTGGTGCTTGGGAACTGTCTGGGGGTTTGTGTGTGTGAGTGAATGGGTATGCAGGGGATGGGTATGTGTTGGGGGGGAGGGAGGGGAAAATGGGCTGTGCTGGTGCTGAGGGAAGGTGGCCGAGTGCCAAGACTGCATTGGGGGGGACTGCTAGGAGGATGGGTGAGGATGTGGCTAGGCTGCCTGGCATGCAAGAGCTCCAGCCCATGGTGGGGGGTGCCACAGGCTTCCCCTTCTCCCTCCAGCCTGTGCCAGGGCTGGACTTGCTCTGCTGCTGCTTGCATGAGCTGGAGCTGCTAGAGCCGCCAAGCTCCAGCCTAAGCAGGCCAGTGACAGCCGGGGGCCCCCTCTGGCAAGGCTGGAGGGGAGGGGGATGAATGAGGGGCACTGGCAGGCCCAGAGGGCTGTGAGTTGGGACTGGCCATCAATGTTTACAAATGGGTCCTGATACAAAAAAAAGGCAGAGAACCACTTCTCTAAGTCCTCTTCTTTGGGTGGGTTAGAAAATGAATCTAGTACTTGTGGAAGTGAGAAATAGTGGTACAGGCTTAAGGAACAGTGCAGGTAGTAGTGCTGGCATACAACTCTAGCACTAGACTTCAGACCACAACAAAGCCGTTTGCTTTTTCCCAAGCAAAGGCTGTTAATCACAACATCTTGGTATTATGCACCAGTAAAAACTAGGAAGAAACCAAGCATTTTTTCATTTTAAAACTAAGATAAGAATACATGTGACCTGAAAGCTCCATTTCTCCTTGCATGTGATGTAGAATCAAAGAAAAAGAAAAGTACAGCTGAAAGGGATCTCAGGAGTTTATTAAGGCAGGATCATCTCTACCTAAACCATCCTATAAAAGTGTATTTTCCTATTAAAGCTGCACAAACACCCTTCTCATACAACTACCAGGCACAATGCCCAAAAAGCCACCACCATAACCTGCCACAGGTAAAGCAAGGGAATGAAGGCACTGTCCATGTCTTACTGCTGGAAGGGTAGAAAGTAGTTTGTTAAATACACTCAAGAAATCCAAGGAAAAGAACCATGTTCCCCCACTACAAAAAGAAGGCAAACCCCACCACAATCCATGCTGCCATGAGATAACATTCCTTCATGGTCCCAAATGTGGCGCTCAGTTTGAGGAGCAAGAACCTTTAATCAGGAACCTTGGGGGTTATATTACCAATAGATACATCAGCATATTCCAGTTAAAATCCCCAACCTTAGTTGCAGCTAACACCCTGACA